TTCTTTTGTTAACAGGTGATCGGTGTCTGGCCTGCAGCAGACCGCTGCGTCTGCATCACTTCTGGCTCGGAGCTCCCACTGCTGCTTTAGCAATCTGAACCTGGTGCCAAGAGCAGCTTTAGGCAAGTCTTGTTGCGCCTCTTGTTCTGCTGCAGACGCTTACAGGTTAATCACAGCATTTTGAGCATAATAACGCACGTACGGTATGATTTAGCAAAAACCTGCTTAATAAGTGGCTTAAATCAACAGGTCCTGAGTGATGGTGCAAGTCACTGTGATATAAAAAGGTGGCAACAAAAGCACGGTGTTCAGGTCACTATAGAGACAACGGCAGGGAAACATGAAGGGAACGCAAACATGTTTACAGGGCAGTGGGGAAAAGTGTTTCCCTAGGGTACGGATACACAGCAGCCTTATTAGAATATAGTTTAATACCCATGAAACACTAATTACAGGTATGCAAGTGGAACACACTGCAGACACTGACTCTGCCACTGAGAAATGTACACAAATCCCCAAAACAATACTTAGCTGCTGTTAGCTTGATGTTATTGTAGTGCTGAATCCATTTTTTCACAGAATGGATGTTAGTTTATAGGGTTTTTTCAGTTTTTTTTTACTTTGGCCTTCTTATCCTTATTATTCGATTTACACCTGAGATCTTAGGATGGTAATGGGGATGGGAGTTCAGGGCGTGACATGACAGAAAGGCATTTTTATTTAAATTTCTTAACTCTTGTGTTCTTTTTGTTAACCATTTGTCATTGCAGACTAAAATCAAGTTTATAAGACAAGGACAGATTTTTAGGCGATAAATAACATGAGTTGACCCAAGATATCTTCCTCCTTGGGATAACATCAGAGAAGTGAGTTTTCCATATTACGCTCAGCTTCCACAGCAACCGGGGGTGACACCGCCTTCCCCCCTTGACCTGACCCAGGGAGCAACAGTTTTTTTTTTTCACAAGGACATTATTCCCAACACTTGAATGGATTGCCCTCTAATTCATCTCACCATGAATAATAGTGTACAAAAGCCAAGGAAGTTGGGATGTGAGGTGCAGAACAAAACCAACAGGGGCCGAGCTAAATGGGCTGGGGTAGTAACCACCGCAACGCCGACACACTGCTTCTTACTCCAGTAATCACTTTACGGAAAATAAAAATGTCCATCAAATATATAGGGCTGTTTGAACCCAAGTGCTTTTTTGGTAGCAACTGAAATCCATTCGCTGCACCACGAAAAGTTTAAAAGTACCAAAAATCTGCCATCTGGTCGGATTTGGAGCCTTTGCCAATTATAAACTGTTTGATTCAAGCAAGGTTTGTGCATGAACTTTGGCTACTTTTGTTTAACAAAGCAATGATTGCAATGAGGAATGTGTTTACAGTATATTAAGTACGGGCAAAAGAATTAGTTTGCTATTGAATACCAAAACGTGGCACTACTATTCAAAATGTTTAAATGTTATCCAGCCCTAATCCAGTGTTTCTGTACATAAAGCAAACAGGCAAAGTAGAAACTACTGTATGTGAAACAGGCTTCAGTCATTTACAAAAGGAGACTTTTGACATAAAATGACAATTTGAAATATAAGCCTATGTGCCGTTTCTTCAATGTGAAATGAATAAGCTATTACTCTATAACTAAAGCAGCCTACTTAAAAAAGTCTGTTGATCAGTGTAAAAGAAAACTAAATGTTGTATGGCAATGTACACTACAACCGATCCCATTGAAATGATTGTTTTCATTTCTGAAAAGCTAAGAGGACTATCTATTTTACATCTTAGAGGATAAAATCCTTCATTTACTTTCTGAGCTCTAGTAGCAACAAAGGAAACCTTCAAAATAATGAGAACAAACCAATGTTTCCATAGTGTTTACAGTGCCACCCTGCAGTAAAACAAGAGACTCTGGCCTCAAACTACACTAATTAAAATCTTCATGATATCATTTTGTACCTGGACTGCACTGCAGGACACCTTCTGTTGACACCTGAAAGGCTGGCAGAGGAAAAACAGCACCAACCTCGCTGTCTCCACTGTCACGATGCAATGACTTTCCACAGCAGAGTTACAGCAGGTCGTTACACATCTGACATCCACGCACAGCATGATGCGGCGGCCGCGCTCTGCTTGACTTACCGGAGGGATGACAGGGCTCGTCGGGACACGCAATCCGCTCCGACGCCGTGGGAGTTAGTGGTAGATACTTTTCAGAGTAGAAAATCTGTTGTGTATGAGGCTGTCAGTCGGTCATGTGCGCTGCAGCACAAACAGTGCACAGACACACCACCAGCAGCGTAAGGCTGAGCGGCACACGATGTCTGTGAGCTTCCTCGTACGCGATTGGGTCAGGTAGAACATGCGCGTTCACGGCCCCAACCCGCGCGCCACCGTTGCTTGTGACCACTGGTGCAATCATAACATCCATGGTGGTGGCTCAGGTGGTCATGTGGGATAATGCACCCAGGACGCAGTGGCACAGCCAAGTCCAGTTGAGTGAGGAGTAGTTCCATTTTCAGAAGTGAAGTAACTGAAGTATATTTAATCAAATACTGTTCATACATTTGTGAGAACTACACTGTATTTTCACTCCACTATATTTATTTGATAACTTTTCTGAATCAGATTAATAAAACTGTATAATTATACAACTTTATTGATCCAAGCTGCCCAGCAGTACTACAAACTATAAGGTGTGTTAAAATTTGCTTCCACTTTACCAGCTTTTACATTGTGGACAAAACAAATAGTTAACAAAAATATACCTAATTGTTCGATAATGAAAATAATTATTAGTTGCAGACCTAAAATACTGCTTTACAGATTGATTTTCCGCCTCTAAAATATTTGTGTCCAACAGTAAAATTTGTTCACATTAGCTCCACCTCTGCCAGCTATAGCAGTAAAATGCTGCGTGTGCATTATCTAACAATGAAATATATATACGACAGTGTAAAACTGTAAATAGGGCCATCACCGAGACTATGGCTGACATCCCCAGGCTCATCTGGGAAGTAACCAGACTCTAGTAAATGTATACCTATAGGTGTGGTGGGCTTGTGGTGATAAAGACAAAGGGGAATCTAAAAGCTGAGTAAACCAAAGTCCTTTAGTCAGTTACAGCTATTTGAATCCATATGTCAACAGAACAAAAACAGCTGTACCATGATCCGCTGCTGTCTATCTGGAAAACGAGCAGACAGACGGACAACCCAGAAACATAAATCCTCCAGCTGTGGCTATTGCCGGCATGGAGGCATAAAAAAACCACAGGACGGTGCAGAACATGGGCTCTTCTCACCCCAGCACTGAAATGGTCATCTCTTTTGCTGAAGCCCTCTGTGCCCAATAAGCCAAATGAACTGAAAGCTTTAACTGGCTTCATCTTTCTCTGTTGGTCCTTGGTGGTGATTTTTCACACAAGCTGCTACCCTGACAGAAAAAAAACCTCTTGAGACACTTAAAGCAAAGAAACTTTAATTTTCCCAAGGTTACACAACACTCAGAATCCACTGAACTCAGCACTTGTTAAGGTTTCATTATTACAAAAGGTGGAGATTGACTAGTACATACTAGTACTAGCACATAATTCTGTAGGTCTTCAGAAAAAAACAATAGCCAAATGGCCGCATTGGTCATAGACTACAAGGTAAAATCGAGAAAATTACAAATATATATCCATCTATTTCAGGGAAACAATACATCATTGTACAAGTTTCACAAACTGCTATAGCGAGCCATAGGAAAAGTACAAATCAACACAGGGAGGTCATGACAGCTGGTTATAAATACCAGCAAACAGAAGTCCCCTTTCAAAAATACATATTTTAATATAGCCCAAAAAAGGAAACCGTTAGCAGCTCAGCTAAAGGTTGCTGGTCTTTCAAATTTACAAAAGTTTCTCAAGTTAAATGTATTTTGGTTTACATCTTACATATCATACAGTTCTTACAAGTTCTTATAGTCAAATGCATAAATGTGCATATGTGCAATACAGATAAATATCTTTGAGAACAGCATGTTTTCAAATAGATTTAGACTCTGAAGCTAATGAAATTATTTTTTTTTTACGCAGTTGTCATGTTGTGTTGTGTGGAATGTTTAAACATGTAACATTCTCTGTGAGAGTGTGTGTGTGTGTGTGTTTGGTCCATTCTCTTCCTTCAAGAGTTGGCCCCAAAAACTTGTAGTGCGAGTGCTTGTTTTCAATAACAAAAGTGGAAAACTGAGGAATGAATTCAAGAAATCAAGGCACATTTAGTCACATAAGACTGGTCCTTTTGTTTTCTCTGGAATTTAACAGAATCAACCTTTGCCCTGTCAGTCATATGCCATGATTTTAGACAAAACAGCAAAACTGTGGGCAATAGTGATTAAGAAAGTAGCATCATATATCATGTGGGATTTGTCGTGAACAACCATTAATATGATTTTCAAATGTTTAAAAGGAATAGTTTGACATTTTGGGAAATACTATTGTTTTCTTGTTAAGCTATTAGAGGGTCTATGCCACTCTCATATCTGTTGAACAGAAAACTGGAGCCAGAGGTTGTTAGCTTAGCATAAAGAACAGAACCATGTGGAAACTGCTAGCCTGGCCCTGTGATACTGCACATAACCCCCATGTAACAACAACTGGATTTATTTATTTATTTATTTATTTTTTACACTTTGGCTTTTTGTATCAGAAAGGTGTAGGAATATTGGGAGACAGATTTTTTTTATTTTTACCTTGGGACAGGGTCAGGCTGTTCTCTTTGTTTCCAGTCTTTATGTTAAGCTAAGCTAACTGGGTAACAGACAGATGAGTGTGGTGCTGATCTTTTAATTCAACTCTCATCAAGAAAGTAAAGTAAGTGTTTTACACAAAATGTCAAACTTCAGAGTTTTCTGGTAGAAGTGGCCAAGTTGCACTGACAGGATACAGAAATCTGAGTGTCATCCACCACCTACCACCGCCTT